AACAACAACAACAACAACGACTAACCCAGTATAATCTCACAAAGTAGGGTTTGAGGGAGGGGGAGGGATAGAGTGTACGCATACCATAACCTATCTTGTGAAGGTAGAGAAGTTGTTTCTGATATACTCCGGCTCAAGATAAAAGTAAAAGAAGCTAGAAAGTACTTAAATGTGTTGCTTTAAAATGCAGGACAAACAAGGAAGGAAATCTAATGGAGAAAAGAAAGGATCTGCATCTAAATTGAATTTATTATTAGGGAGTCATATATATGACTTTTCCTTGTAGATATTTCTAAATATCATATATACCAGCTTGTTACAATAATTTTGATATATTTACCTTTTTAAATCTTTTGAACAAGTAGCTTTCCTTCTATATGTGTTTATAAATCATGATATGATATGATATATATTTAAAAATACGACTGTCCAACTTATAAAAGCTTAAAGTCATCATTCTCCCAAGTTTTTGCCAGAAGAAAAAGATATTCGTATGACACATCCAGAAGGAAAGCAAAACTAGAGCTAAGCAACAAGAAATTAATCCACACAGAGGTATGTAACAATGGCTGAAATCTCAAATAACTTGTTATACTTTATATATATATATTGGTTTTCTTCTGTTTTTATCTTTTTATTTTCGCTTTTCATGTTAATTCATCTTTTAGCTTCATATGGTGATATTCATAGAGATGTAAAAGCAATTCATATTCTTGTTGAAATGGTTTCTCCTTCCTATTAAGTATACCAAATGCTTCACAAAAATCGAAAAGTGCGACTTTCAAATCAAGAGGTCCGCCTCTGGTTATAGCTATAGGTAATTATAGTGTATACAATAAAAATATTTGTTTTCTGAAAATAGTTTCAAATATAAATATAACTGAAGTCAAAAAAGTTGAACCTAAGTAATTAACAACATTTTGTGTCCTTATGCTACGTACGCCCGTGACTGTCTCACTTTAAATTTTGGCGTTACTCGTGTTAGGTACTGATCGTCCTAATTGGCCTTGACCAACTCCTATTGTGCAGCTTTAATTTCTCGGCTTCAGCAACCATGGCACATGAAATATCTACCTGTGCGTAACGGCTAAGCTTAACTGTCAAGGTATTGCTCGTTCTGGGTTAATCTTTAGAGCCTCGCGGTTTTGTCCCTTTGAGTTTTAACCCAAAAGACAGTTCGATAGTTGAATACCTAAACCATGGGTGGAGCCAGGGTGGCGGAAAGAGAATCCCCTTTTCCCAAAAATTATATTGTGTATATAAATTTAAAGTCAATATCAATGTCATGTAATTAGATGAATTACGATAATTAATATTTCTAATTTGTTAACGAAAATGCAGATAATGGGGAAGAATGTGCAACTAAGCTTATATGTCTCAACGGTTGCTTTTACATTCTTCTTATTAGTAGCTGATTGTCGTCCTCACAATGGGTAAGTATATTTAACTGTTAACATATAAATCCAATCCAAATATAATACTGTATTAGATTAGTTAGTGTGTGATGGGAGTATTTGAGA